TACTGTAATAGGTTTAAACTAAGGCAATAATAGGGAACAAGATTAAATGGCATGTGGGAGGTTGATTAAAATATGTATACACCCATAATTTGGATTAAATACTATAGGCTGCCCATACCTTTGGGCAGAAAACACATGCTAAGGGGGGCTGTCAGGGGTATGGGCATTGGACATTTTTTTTGATTAGTTATGGGCAGGAAAAGGCTGAAGGGATCAAAGGCAGCCTGGAGCCTGTCATTTTCTGCCTATAAATACGCCTCTTTAGAACAAGAAAAGGGTCTGGGAAAAATTGGGAGAAGTCAGTGAGTATTGAGAGCATAGGCTGAAAAATTATTAAGTGTTCAGAGAGAAATAAAGCTGTTAGTTTTAAAGGGTTTGGGTTGTTACTATTTCATTAGGGTATTCTGATTTCTCTGTGGGATTACTACTGTATTCTGGGCTTCTGTATGCTGCTGATTGATTCTGGTCTTATTGCTATTGAAGCTGTTGTTGGTTATTTGTCGAGTTGTTGTGATTATTGAACTGCTGTTACTATTGCATTTGAATATTCTGGGTTTCTCTGCTGGTTTACTACTCTGTTCTGGGATTGTTGGTTGTTCGTGAACTAGTGGTTATACTGTTGCTGTTTGTTGCTGTTGTGCTACTACTGTATTACTGTTGTCTGTTTGATTGCTGCTGATATCATTCTTCTTCTTCTCATTCTTATTGTCTAGCATCCAGGTACACATTCTAATTTCACTGGTGTAATGATGAACTTGGAGCATGAATAAGAGTATAAGAAGAATTGCAGTCTGAACTTAGTGTAATGAATGTTTTTTTACTGTTTGCAGTTTAGAACATTCTGTATACCCGACATGTAAAGTTTGACCTCCAAATGGAACAGTTTTCATTCTATAAGAGTTTGGTCCAGTAATTTGTTGGTGTATGTTAATCAAGAAGAAACTAATGGTGTAGTAGTGATGTTCGGCCAACAAATAGTTTCACATAGGGTCGTTTAAGAACGACAATGCAGTAATCGCGTTTGTTTCACCTTGGTTCATCAGTAGATAATGTATATTTCAAAGGCATGCTAGGCAGTTTGAGTATCGCAAAAAGATAAAAATCGCGTAGGTCATATTGTCGGATAAATGTTGCCCGAAACATGTAGTGATATCACCTAAATTAGACAGGGTCAGTTTCAGTCTTTTCGCCTTTAAGTGTTAAGCGTGTATGGAATAATTAACTGAACCTCATATGTATGCACATCGATGAACAAGGTTGCCATATGCATGTTTACTTTTCCGATCCAATCAACTGGTTATCATATTTTGTGAGCATGTAATTGAAAAGTGTTTCCCGATTGTTTTATTCCAGAGACGGATTTAATAGAGAAAATGTAGTCATTTTAGGATATCATTTTAAAATAAAAATGAGACGAGCCTCGCCAAATAAAACGCGTAGATTCCGGGGCCCTCACAAAATGTATTGCTTTAATTATTTAGCCTTAGGGACGAGCCGTTTAGCAAATTTCATGGTTTTCCCAAAATACCAATACGTTATTCTCTTTAGGACGCGCTTTAATAAAACTTACCTTCTTAAACTCGGGTGCACATTTATGTGACCCAAATCCAAATCTCAACAGAATCGAGACGCGTTTCTAATCATGGATACATAGATTGTGACGTGGTTCGAGATGCGTGTCCATGATGTTGCAAATTCCTTTTAAAAGAAAAAATAAGAATGAGGTGAGCCTCGTCGAATGAAAAATACAAAATTGCGGGGCCCTCAATAAATATTTGCTTTAAAATTGCTTAGACTTCAGGATGGACCGTTTAGTAAAATTCCACGGCCCTACCCAACGTAAATGACACGCTAGTCACTTTAGGCGTGTATTTAATAATGTTATCTTCCTAAACTCGGGTGCACATTTATGTGACCCAAATCCCAATCTCAACAGAGTTGAAATGTGGCTCTAACCACGGGTACATTGATTGTAACGTGGTTCGAGATGTGTTTCCATGATGTTGCAATTCCTGATAAAAATAACAGTAAATGATAAAAACGGTTAAAAGTTAAATTCTGCACATAGGTTCAACATGTATTAAATCAGATAATCAAGCCAAATATGACAGTTGAGCGACCGTGCTAGAACCACGGAACTCGGGAATGCCTAACACCTTCTCCCGGGTTAACAGAATTCCTTATCCGGATTTCTGGT